CTTCCTCTCTTCTTGGGCTCTGCGGACGGGTGCCTGGGCAGCGGGGACCGGGCCCTGTGCCAGCTGTGGTACCTGACACCTCCTCTCCTCTGCGGATGCCACTAGACCCACATGGCCCCGGCCCCCGTGACTTGAGCCTGACGCTCACCCCCAAGAGCAGGGGGGTGCGGAAGGGGGGGAACCGCGCTGCCTTCAAATACGCTGAACGCGGGACCCTTCCCTGGCTCCCTCCTCCCCAGGTATGTCTGTGGGGTCAGTCCCTGCCCCTGTTTCTTGGGACGGCGAGGTGACCGGGTGGGGTGGCTGGGAGGGGGGGCTGGAGGGCTTGGCTGGGCAAAGGGCAGCATGTTGAGGGCTTGCTGGGGACCCGCTGGGGGAGCTGGGCTTCTCCCGCCTGTTTGGGGGAGAGATCTGTTTGCTCAGGGACAAGCCATGGCCCTGGCGGTGTTTCTGCGTGCGAGGGGGTGGCAGTCATGCTTGCAGATCCCCCTGCTGATCCCGGGTCAGGGCTCGGGGCATCTCCTGTCCACAGAGGCACTGAAAGGCTGCCATGAGGGCATTTTGGGATGTTTTCTTTGGAAGCCTGGGTGGCTCACAAGGGCAAGGCAGGAGCTGTCATACCCTGAGCTGTCTGCGTGGGAAGGCAGGGGAGCAGCACTGCAGACGGCTCCGGCGTTTTGGGGTGGCACATTCTGGGTTGGTTGGGCTCTGGGTCCCATGCAGACGTACCCGTCAGCCTGCTCTGCCTTTTCCAAGCAGCCAACAGACTTCCCAAATCCCTCTCCACATCCTGACGGCTATGTTTTGGCTCCGTCATAGCTGTAGGCTCCCCAACCTGCAGGACCACACCGGGGGAGGAGGCGAGCGGTGCACGGGGGCACCTGCGACAAGGGACGGGCTCTGCTGCCTTTAACGCATGCCAGGGCTGGCAAGGACTACAGATCCCAGCATGCTGCTTCCTGCCTGCCTCCTCCCGCGTCCTACCTGGCAGGGTGCAGGCAGGGATGCTGTAGCCGGCAGCGGTGCAGGAGGGTGAGAGGCATGCCCCGGGGGGGCCGGGGGCTCAGCGCCGGGAGCCCCGCTGCAGATGTAACCCTGGGAGAGGTGCCAGAGCACCCCATGCTGCGCCGCTCGGACTGGAAAAGGACAAGGCAGGCCTGTGGCTTCTCCGAGGCGGCTAATCCCACTCTGCCCTGGGAAGAAGGGGGAAACCAGGGAGGGAAGGTCCCTTCTCGGGGGTTCTGGGGCTGCGTCTCTGGGGCTGTCTGCGGGGAGAGCAGTGCCAGGGCGGTGGCAAGGGCCGGGCAAGGTGGTGATGGGGGAAAAGGAGCGGTGGGCACCGGGGAGGGGACAGCAGTGCCAGGGATGCCCTTGGCTTTCCAAGGTGACCCAGGAAAGGGCTGCGAGCGCCCCAGGGAAGTGGGAATTGGAAATGGGGGGAGTTTGCATGGTTCTGGCTGGAGGGGCTGCTGAGTTAAATGTGTCTTTTGTGCCGCCATGCCCTGGGCGTTGGCGGGAGGTGGGGAGCGCAGGGGGGTGGACGCAGCCCGCTGTGCATATGCTTTGCTCACAGCCCTGGGATTGGGGGCAGAGCTGCAGGCTCACAAATCCCTTAAGAGCAGCTGGGCAGCTGGCGCCGAGCAGCCTGGGTGTCTCAGGAAAGCGGTTTCCCTTACGGAGGGAAGGCTTGGTGTCTCCCTGCCAGCAGAATAAAGCCCTGTGTCACAGCCCCTCGGCTGAAGGACTCTGAGCCGCAGGTTTCCCAAACTGCTGTGCTGTGGTCTCGCCATTTGCCAGCTCTGTTTGGCTCCTGGTACTGTGGAGCACTTAGCCGCCGGCACAGCCGGGGGGTTAAAACCAGCACTGCCCCTGCCTGACCTGCGTCCCTCGCTCCCCCATAAAACCCTCTGTTTGCTTTCCAGACGGAGAGCAGCCACGAGACTTTCTGGGAGCGGTGCTGACTCCTGCCGCATGAGATGACAGCAAGAGACAGGCCCCAAGATAGGTAATGCCGGGCTCTGGTGTAGGTGTGGGGGCACATCCAGCATACCAGGAGGTGAGGGAGGACAGGGGGACCCCCTCTCCTGCATGCTCACTGGGCTACCAAGCTGTCCCTTCTGAGATGCTCTCTCCCTCAGCTTTTCCATAACAAACGGGCTGTAAACAGTCCCTGGTGCTGGGACACGCCTGGGGAGCGTGACTCCCTCCCAGCTCTGGCGACAGCTGCTGTGTGTCTGGGTGCCGCATGCTGAGGAGCAGCCAGCCTCCCCCCGCCTTCGTACCCACCCGGGGAGGGCCTCCCGTGGCCCCTCTGCGGTGCCACATCTCCTCCGGCAGCCCAGGCTAGCAGGGGCTGTTGGGCAGGGACAGGGCAATAAATTTCATCCTCCCTCCTCTTCCTGGTGCCTTCTGCTGCGGGTTCGGAGACAGCCAGAAGCGATGCCTGTCCCCTGCCCTGCTCAGCATCCCGCTCCAAATCGCTCTGTCCCCTCTGCAGGTACAAGGCTGTCTGGCTGATCTTCTTCATCCTTGGCCTGGGAACACTGCTGCCATGGAATTTCTTCATGACTGCCAGGGAGGTGAGGGCTTCCCTCCTGCTGCTGCCCGTGATGCTAATCGTCCCCTGTCACGTCTAGGGGCCATGCTGTAGGTGTGGCAGCATGGCACAGTGCAGAGCCCCCACGTTTGCACGCAGGAGATGGAAGCGTGGGTGACCTGGGTGGGACGAGTGGCGCTGAGGCGGCAGGAGGGCTGGGCATGGGGATGGAGGGGGGACAAGGGTGGCTTGAGTGTGCTGGAGGGAGGCCTCGCAGCGCCTCGGCCCCACCAGGCTCCTTCCCTCGCAGTATTTCATCAGCCGCCTTGCGGACCCAGACATGAATGTCTGGAACAACACCGATGAGGCTGCCTTGTCCCCCTCCTACCTGCCGTCCATGTTTGACAACTTCATGACTCTCTGCGCCATGGTGCCCCTCCTCATCTTCACCTGCCTCAACTCCTTCATCCACCAGCGGTGAGCCTTGCCCCATCCTTGCCCCTGCCAGCCCCCATAGGGCCCCCCAGCCCTGGCTCATCCTCCTGCCCCAGCCCTAAGCCAAGTTGCAGCCTGTTCAGTCAAGTCAAAGGCAAAACACCAGTCTCCTGTGCTGGGATTTGGCTGGGATTCCCATGGGAGAGCTTGGTCCCAGCCTCACAGGCTTTTGAGGGGTGGGTTTTCCTCACTGAGACCCTCTCTTGCAGGATTCCCCAGCAGATCCGCATCTTGGGCAGCCTGGTGGCCATTGGGCTGGTGTTTTTAGTCACCGCAATCATGGTGAAGGTCGACATGGAGCCTGTTCCCTTCTTCATCTTTACCATGATCAGCATCGTCCTCATCAACTGTGAGTGAGGCAGTTGGGGGAAGGAAAGGGGCTAGGGCTGATCTCTCTGGGAGAAAAGCATGAACCTCACTGCAGGAGAGCCAAGGAGGAGGGGGACCTGTCTTGCCTCACAGGGTGGGGTCCTTGGCTCCCTGCAGAGGTGCAGTCCATCTTTGCCTTTGGTTTCTCATTTCTGCTCATCTTCCCCCTTCGCAGCCTTCGGCGCCATCCTCCAGAGCAGCCTCTTTGGGCTGGCAGGGCTCCTGCCTGCCAGCTACACAGCTCCTATCATGAGTGGGCAGGGCTTGGCGGGCACTTTTGCCGCTTTGGCGATGATCTTCAGTATTGCCAGTGAGTAATCCCTGCCCTGCAGGTGACAGGGCCTTCCCAGAGCACTGCTGTCAGCAGGATCTGCTGGGGTCATGCTGTAGAGTTGGGTGGGAGATGGCAGAAGGGCCTCGCTCCGCTCAGCCCTCATCATCTTCTTCCTTTTTTCCCTGTCTCCTCCCTTCCTGTGCTCCCAGTTGGCGCCCAGCAACCCGAGAGCTTCATCGGTTACTTCACCACAGCCTGTGTGGCTATCTTGCTGGCAATCTTATCCTACATCCTTCTGCCTCGCATGGTGAGACTTTGTCGTCCTGGTGGGGAAGGGTGTGGGGACATGGGACCTTTGCGCATTACAGCACAATGACCGTGGCCCTAGCACCCCAGCCTCGGCTCCTACCAGCCTCCACCTCCTGGGTCAGGGCAAGCTCTCCCCTGTCCCGAGGGAGCTCTCTGGGATACCTCCCACCTCAGGTACCCCAATGTCCTTGGGGTACTGTGGAAATGAGCCCCTGGGTGAGCAGGAAGGCATCAGTATCGGACATAAGTGGAAGGAATACTTTGCCCATATTGTGTTTGCCCATATTGCCCATATCTGCTGTTACCACACAGCCAATGGCAGCCTTCTTTCCTCACACATGAATGAGTTCTCCATGGCTGTGTCTCTGCAGGATTTCTTCCGATACTACTCCATGAAGGACAAGACAGAGTACCATGTGTGCAATGCAGAGCTGGAGACCAAGAGAGACTTGATTAAGAAAGGTGAGGGGCTGAAAGGAGAAAGAGGAAGAGTTGAGAGGAAGAATGAGACAAAAGGACTAAATTAGATCTCAGCTTTCTGGGGTCTGCTATGCCCTACTTGTGTCTCTCCCTGCAGATGAGCCCAATGGGATGGAGCAGAATAACTCAAAGATCATCCCTATCCACAACCTGGACAAGAAGCCCTCGGTCGTTTCTATTTTTAAGAAGGTCTGTGAGTTGCCAGCAACCCCTGTCCTGCCCCTCATATCAGGGGATGGGCACAGGTGTAGGAGAGCGTGGGGAGAGGAGACCAGCCCCACACTGGTCTCTTGCCCTGTGTTTGGTACCAGCCTCTTTCTTTCATCTGCCTAGCTCTGGGTCATGGCTGTGTCTGTCTGCTTTGTCTTCACTGTCACCATCGGCGTCTTTCCTTCCATCACAGCTAAGGTGTCTACTGTCCTCGGAAAGGAAAACAGATGGGGTAAGTGTGGCCAGGGATGGGGTGGGGTAGGAGAAAACTGGGAACAAGGTAAATGGGAGAAAAGAAAGTGGGGCTTGAAGTAGTAGGTATGCCCAAGGGGAAGAGGAAACCACTGTGCATGATGGTTTGGATGCGGACACCAGCCTGGCTGGGAGACCATTCCAGCCCTTAGTGGGAAACCAGGAGGACCCTAGACCTGAAAGACAGTCTCCGTGCAATTGGTGGGAGGGCCTGGACACGTCAGTGACCTTCTCCTGCTTCTGCAGGTCTGTATTTCATCCCTGTCTCCTGCTTCCTGCTCTTTAACGTCTTCGACTGGACGGGACGGAGTCTCACTGCCCTCTTCACATGGGTAAGCATGGGGCAGGGAGCAAATGCCCAGGCAGTCTCCATCCCCAGGCCCCTCAGCCACGGCTCTCACTGGGGCTGCCATCCATGGCTTGGAGCAGAAAGGAGGTGCAGAGCTGACTCCTGCCTTGGCTTTAAGTCCTAAGCAGAGATTTATGGGTCAGAGCCGAGAACCACAGTGTTGTCCTGTCCTCCTCCCACGCTTCTTCCAGCATGGCTTGGATGAAGCTGCCTCCTCCATTTCGGCCTCTTTGTAAACAAACCTTCACTCCAGCTATGCAAACAGCCAGGCAGGATGGCGGCAGCAAAAGAGGGTGAAGGACAGGGCAGCCCAAAATAAAACCTCTGGCCTCCACACAGGACACAGCTGCTTTAAAGAGCCTTGTCCTGGGAGCAGGGGAGAGCCATGCCATGTGGGTCACAGAGGTGTCCCCTGCCACATCCTCTTGCTGTCATCTCCCCTGCCTGGCTCAGAGCTGCTGGGGCTGAGTGATGGGAGCTGTGATGGGGGTGGGTGAGGAAGGGGGCTGTCCCGTCTGTCTCCCTTCCTGCCCCTTCACCCACCCCCCCAAAGCGCCATTTCCCCCTCTATTGTTCAGGCTGTTTGTTTAGAGAAGCTCCTCAGCACCACACACTGTGGGGTCTGTCCAGGCCTGGCTTCCCCACAGCCTGGAGCTGCTTCTTCCCTGGCCATCACTGCTGGCCGCCCTTGACCTTGGCCACAAGCCGCATTGCTTGGTGTGCAGGCCACAGCCTCCGTGGTGGGATGACCCAGCGTGAGATATTTCCTAAACAAGACTGTGTGGAAAGTCTGACTGTGTGCGGTTTGGGCTTCATTTCCTTAGTTGGGGCCCCACTCGCTCCTTTTCTCCTCCTCAAGCAGGAGAGGCGGCTGCTCTTGCCAGTTTGCCCACAGGCTCAGCAGCTGGTCTAACACCAGCTTCCCCCCATGCTCGTGAAGTGTCCTGTGGCTACGCCAGCCCAGGCAGCTCCCAAGGTAGCTGTGGATCTCTCCTGACCCCAGACCAGTGAGCCCTGTCATCTGTAACCCTGGCACCCCACTGAGGGGACCCCAGATGGAGCCAGGCAAGTGTCGTACCAGGGGCTGCCTCGGTCCCAGGTGCAGGGACAACACAGGGGAATGGTGCCTCCTTCTTTGTCCCAGCCTCACATGTCCAGGGACTCTGTTAGGATCCAAGGAGACTGTAACTCAGTCCGTGTCTTTTCCCAGCACTGTCCGAAATAGCCCCAGCATAATCCCTTTCCCAGATTGCTGGATCTCGCCCCACTTGGCTGGGGGATGGCGTAGGAGGCTGAAGAGCTGGTTAAAGCCCAGTTCGCAGGCCCTGAGGTGCCAGAGGGGATTTACCTCAGCCAGCCTTGTCCTGCACGTGGTTTGCTGCGGGAGGAGATTGTGTGAGTGTGCACAAGGCTCTCTGGCCTGCCCTGCCTGTTGTTTCCAGCAAGGCCTTAGCAGTTGCTCACAAGCCCAGCTCAGTATTTTGGCTCTAGTGCAGCTGCTCTCCAAGTCAGCTGGGATAGGACTTTCAGACCTAGTAGCACCTCCTCACCACAGCAGGTGGTGATGCTGAGATTTGTTGCAGCAGAGAAAGTTTCTCAGCAACTTTGCTATCTCTGTGGCTCCTCCGCGGCCCTGGCACAGTAGGGACAGCCTCTATATAGCCCGTGCCGGCATGCCATGGGATGGGGAATGCCCACATCTCAGCTGCTCAGTGACCCGTGTTTTTCTCTCAGCCCGGGAAGGACAGCTTCCTCCTGCCAGTGATGGTGGCCCTCCGTGTCATCTTTATTCCTCTTTTCATGCTGTGCAATGTGGAACACCGTGAACACCTGCCTGTCGTATTCGCTCATGACGCCTGGTACATCATCTTCATGATCTTCTTCTCCATCTCCAATGGCTACCTGGCCAGCCTTTGCATGTGCTTCGGGCCCAAGTGAGTAAGAGCTGGGGACAGGGGAGGGGTTGGTTGCGTCCCCGGATGCCAGCCCCAGCCATGACTCCTGGAGTCTGGCTCTGCCCAGCTCTGGCATCTGAGGAAGGGAATGCAGGCACGGAGGGAAATTGCCACACCACCGCAGGGAAGACAACCCCGGTGTCCCATCTCCCAGCCTTGTGTCTCTGTGTCCTAGAGATGAGGAAGCTATTGTTTGGGCTCTCTGTTTCCCCCACCTGCCAAACTGGGGAAGGGGCCAGAGGCAGCGGGGATCTGGAGGGGAGCAAGGCGTGGCACAGCACCCACAGCAGGGTGAGCAGCCTTGCCCAGGAGCACGGGCAGCACAAGGACCCCAGCTGGGGCTCAGCCGGGCGGGCTGCAGTGCGTGGGGGCGGGAGTCGGGGAGGGGTGTCCCTGGCACCGGGAGCTTCAGGGCGGCCTGTCTGATGGCACTTTTTCTGTCTTTATGAGCCTGTAATGTGGAGGCAGGCTCCTGAAGCCAAGGTGGGTTTGCTCTTGCTGTCCCCTGCTGCAGCGGAGCACGGCTTCTGGCTCCTCTGTGGCCTCCTCCCGTCTCTCCGATGAACTCAGAGCGGGACACAGGGCACGCATCCCCAAGGACGTGTCTGACACCTGTTTCTCCCCTAGGAAAGTGCTTGCCCACGAAGCAGAGACAGCTGGAGCCATCATGGCCTTTTTTCTGTCGCTGGGCTTGGCCCTAGGAGCTGCCATCTCCTTTCTCTTCCGAATTCTCATCTAGCAGAGGCAGCTGGAGGGTGCAGGGACACCGAGAGACGGCTCCGCATCCTCCTCTGAGGCCCTGGGCACCCTTGGCGCCGTGGGGAGACCATACCTCACGCCTGCCCCTGCCAAATTGCACTGCCATGGCAGACGTTACACCCAGGGATGGTTCCACTCCTGCAGGGCTGGCCTGGCTCCTGCCACGCTCGGCTGCGTGATGCCTTCAGGCCTACGTGCCTTCTCCTTCTCCATGCTGTGTGTGTGTAAGACCCCCAGGATCTCTCAGAGGTCCACCCGCCTCCCACGCTGCATAATTTCCCCAGCTCAAGGCCAAAAGCCACTCTTAGCCTCCTCCTCTCTGACAGAGTTGAAGGCTGGTATCCAGTGTTACTCCCTCTCTTGCCCTAGGGACTTGCTCTCCTCTCCTCTCCTTCCAGGGTGCCTGGAAACATCCCACACCACTTCTCCTGCTGGTGAGACTTGCAAACGGGGAGGAGAGCCCCAGCCAGCCTCGCCATCCCTGCTCTCTGCCAGGCACACGTCCCCCTGCCCCGCAGCATCCCAGGGACATAGACATCTGTGTCCCACCCACATAAAGAGCCAATACCGTGGCTACGCTGAGGGAGGAGGAGGTCTCCACACCCCACCTTCTCCCCCTCTCCTTGCGTTTGCTCCCTACTTTCTGGGTGTTTTTTGTGATTCTGCTATTGTTTTCTTTCTGCCTCATGGTTGCGTGACAGGAGGTCACACCGTGGGCTGCAAGAGGAGAGGCAGCAACTCCCTTCCGACCCAGGCTGCCTTCCCTTTCCCCATCTCTTATCTCTGTAAATGTGTGTGTACAGTTGCCTTTTTCTATAAAAAGACTGAAACGCCCCTTTGGGCATGTCTGTGTCTCCATCACCACAGGGGAGAGGGCTGCGGAGGGGCAAGGGCTGAAGGGAGCAGGCACTGGCATTTCCTGGGTGTCCCTGGGGTCCCCTCCCTGTACCAGCATCAGGCGGTGAAGCAGTGCGTGCATCCCCTGCACAGACAGGCCCGGCAGCTCTCCGCTACAGCGACACGGCCAGCATGGGAAAGGGGTGCTGCCCTCGGGGTACACCAAGGGAGCACCAGCACCTCTGATAAGGAGGGGATGCACCTGTGCATTTTGGGGGTGACCTGCAACACGCGCACCTGGGAGCTTTCCTTGTGCCTGGGAACAGCTGGAGTGCCACCTCCTGCTCCTGGGGGGGAACTACACCGCCCTTGCCAGCGGGTGTCCACCCCACACGCCCCCCTTGTATCCCACAGACCCCCCTTCTACCCCACATCGTTCACAGCCATCACCTCCTCGGCACCCCCAGGCACCGACAGCCAAAAGTCGAGGAGCCTGGGTCCCCTCATCCCACCCCTGGCTTCCTTTGCTGGTTAGGCCTGCGCACTTAACAGCCTTAACAGGGAAGGTAAGGCATGTGGTTTATCTTACTGCCCTTGACACTAATAGAGCATCTCCAAACACCGGTTTCCAATGGGGAAAACCTGTCTGCTTTGCTCTCAGACCCTGACACGACCCCTACAGCCCGTCTCCCCCTCCAGAGCCCGTCCCCTCCATCTTGACCCCCCCCTCCAGAGCCCATCCCCTCCATCTTATAGAATCATAGAATCGTTTAGGTTGGAAAACACCTTT